TCCGGAAGAAGAGAGCCTCGTCCTTGTCGCTCCGAACGCGGGTCGTTTTGCAGCCAGCAGCACAACGCTAAACCCACGGAGCCGCCAGGGCTCCGTGGAGGGAAGACGGTCCTCGCCGTGACCCGGTTTTTAAATTGCGTGCAGTGAAGCGGATCTGGGGGCACAGTTCTGTGGCTGTTAGCACATGTACGGATTGGCGCTACCGGCATCATATTCATGGCACAGAATGGCTCCATTGTTCCCAAACTCCTGCATGGACCCCTTTATTGTCCCCTTGTCCCCATCCCTAAGTCCTGCAACCGCTGACCTGGCCTCAGGCACTAGAGTGTGCGTTTCGAGAAGGCCGTGGATCCACGCGGGATGAAGGCATTGTGAGGCCAGCTTCTCCCATTCAGCTGTATGCCTTGGAGATTCATTCAGCCGTCCCCGGGACACTCTCCTGATGCACCTCTGCGTGGGCTCGAACCTCCAGCCTCTCGGTTGGCGGCCAGACACATTAACTGTCTGCACCACCTGGGACCCTATTTCCCCCCCTTAGTGCTGACTTAAGCACAGGGAATCAGTTGACATGTTTTTTAAAAAAAACCAGGTGCCATGCTGGGAGCACTTGTCTATGCTAAGAAATTTGGAAGACGGCACCTGGCCAGCCAACTGGAAGGTTCTGTATTTTCTCCCCATTCCAAAGAAAGTTGATCCAAGAGAATGCAAACATTCCTGAGCAACATCATTAATATCTCATGCCAGTCAAGTGCTGCTGAAGAGTATTCAAAAGTAGTTGCCGCGGTGCATCCACGGGGAGTCAGGCCAGATTCCAAAAAAAGTGTGGCGTGAGGGTTTTGCTGCGGACAGATGGATCTTGGCTGAAAGCAAAGCATACTGGAAAGATGTTTCCCCCCGTTTTATTGACGACGCGAAGGCATTTGACTGCGGGGCATGTATGAAATGACGGCGCGCACAGCGAAGGATAGGAATCCCAGGGCATTTCCACGTACGCACGAGGAGCCTGGACCCGGAGCAAGGGGAGGGAGGCTGCATGGATGAGAATCTGGGAAGGCGTGCGCCAGGTGGTCTCCGTCCATCAGATGTATTCAGTCTGCATGCTGAGCGAGCCTGGCCAGCTGGACTCTGTGAAGAACGCAGCGTCAGGGTGCAGGAGGAGGGGGGTTCACTAACATCGTCCATTTGCAGGGGACACAGCCTGGCTGGCTGAAAGTATGGAGAGCTGGACCCACTTAGTAAAGACCATAGCCTTCAGTGGACTGACACCTCAACACCACGAAGGCCCAGAGCCTCACCACGGGCCCAACGAGCAACAGCATGATAAATGGGGACAAGACTGACGTTGACAAGCTGTTCATCTGACTTGGTCCACAGCCAGTGCCCACGGACGCAACGGTCAAGGAGTCAGACACACTCGGTCAATGTGCACAAGACCTCTTCGTAGCCAAGGCGTCACTTGGAGGGGCTCCCGGCCCAAACCATGTCATTTTCAACCGTCGAATACACACGGGAAAGCGGGGCGAGGGCGGAGGAAGCCCGGATGGGAATTGATGCCTTTGAATGACGGCGGCGGCGGCAAAGGACTGCACCGTGCCACGACTGACTGCCAGGAGAAGGAGCAGATCCGGTGAGAGCACGGTGAGAATGGGAGATGGCGAGGCTCTGCTTTCAGACTTTGGAAATATTAGCAGGAGGGACCCACTCCCGGAGAAGGACATCGTGCTTGGTGAAGTGGAGGGGCGGCAAAAGAGAGAGAGGCCCTCACGGAGATGGATGGACACAGTGGCTGCCACAATGGGCTCAACTGAGGTACCGGATGTGAGGATGGCGCCAGACCGGGCCGTGCTGCGCTTCAACCTGTGGCACCTCCGGTCACTCTCGGTCAGAGTGGACTAGTGGGCACCTAAGACCACAGCCACATCCCCGCATGTGCCCGAGGAGCTGGGCCGGGAGGTCTCGCGAGGCTTTCAGCATGTTAGTCACAGTAGGCAGGGGAGACAGGCAGGAGAAGAGGGCCAAGTGGATTAAAAAGAAGACAAAGGGAAGAGAGGAAAAAAAGAAGCCTGGGAGGCCGGCTCTGTAAATGTTAGCAGAATTGGACAGTCCCTAAGGAGCGCAATTAAAACGCATCATTATGTTGAAAACAGAGAAGTAAACACAGATCCATATGCTAATTGGCCGACTGTTGATAGACGTTAGGGGGCTGCCTGCGTCAGAATCCTGCCTGCGCCTGCTGGCCCCCCACCGCCCGCCTCTCCACCATGATCTCCTCCCACCAGCTCCTCCTCGGTGCCTAGGCTCTTCATATGCCATCTTCCCCAGCGCGCATGGATGGCATGGTGCCAGGGCGGCACAGCCCTGCAGCCTGCCCCACCCACACCCTTTTCCTAAGGGGCCCCCTCGAGAACTAGGGCTTTGGGTACAATCCAGACCTCTCCATCTGCGGTCAGGAACCACCTGGGGTGGTGACTGGGTCTGCCATTCCAGGGTCAGCATCAAGAGGAATTCAATGGCTTCTCCCTGGCAGATCAAACCCAGTCATGGTAGGCTCTGTCCCATGGAGTTTGCCCACTGCTACAGGTCAGCCCTGACCCCAGCCCAGCGCCAGCTGCTCGGCCCTTGCCAGCAGCCCATCCCACCTGCCCTCTCAGCAGCTCCATTTGATGCCTCACAGGGTGTGAAATGTCACATGTTCAGAGTTAAAGGAACCAACACATCCCTCCTGCACAGCACCAGGCCTGCTCCCTGCATCTCTGCAAGCAAGAACGCCATGCGTCCGATCACTTAGGTCAAACGCCCGTGAAGTCATCTCGCCACCCCCAGCCCCTGCTCTCCACGCAGTGTATTAGCACATTCTCCCAACCCTCTCTTCAGGGCAGATGTGGGACCTTTGCCCTCCCTCTCCACCACCAGTGGCATCACCTCGGCCCAGGCCACGGCCAGGTCTCTGAAGGGCTGGGATCCCCAGTCTTCAATCCCTGCCCTCCCTCCACGGTCCATGCCTGACAGCCAACCATCCCTTCCAAACCTCAACTAGATCAAGTTGCTCCCCTGCTGCTGGTGAGAACCCCCACATCCTGGCCCCTGCCCAGGCCACCCAGTCTGCAGTCCAACCTCTTTTCCAGCCACCCTGCTCTTCCTGGATGTGCAGGCAGGCTCCTGCCTCAGGGCCACTGCAATGGCTGTTCCCACTGCCTGGAATGCCTTTCCTTCAAATACCCACCAGCCTCCCACCTGACTTCCTCAAAGCTTCTCTCCTTAAATGCTACCTATCAAAGGGACCTCTAATGCCCCTACCACAGCCCCTCCCCAGGACTCCCATTCCCTGCCCAAGGGCAGGACTTGGTCCATGGTCACCCATGGAAGCAACCGTACATACACTCAAACTCTGCCACCGAGCTGTGCCGACTCCTAGCAGACCCCTAGGACAGGGCAGAGCTGCCCCCAGCAAGTTTCCGAGACGGTAAGGCTTTACGGTAGTAGAAAGCTCTGTCTTTCTCCCTTGAAGCTGCTGGTGGTTTCAAACTGCTAACCTTGAGGTTAGCCACCTGACTCATAACGACTGGGCCACCAGGGCTCCGCTGGGAAAGGCTCCCGGCAGTTGGGAGGCGCTCCCCAAGTACTGGTTGAACAAATGGATGAATACATTCCCATTCCTCATTTGGTGGGGAGCTGTCCTAGGACCCCGCTCACATCCTGTGGGCACAGGCTACCCACAATGCCCAGCCAGCCACTAGGGTGCCTCCTGCCTCTCCGCCAGTTCTTACACAAAGCAACCCTCTCTGGGCCTGGCTCTGCCCATGCAGGAAGAGCAGCAGTGGCGCCGGCCTGCTGACATCAGGCGCGAGGAGAACATCTGGACTTATTAGCTGGGATGTCACTGTGCCAACTGTGATTTTGGACGTTTCTCTATCACGCTGGCGTCCTTTTCCAAATCAAGTGGGTAATGGGGAGAAACTGAGGCTCGGAAAGGGAAATCGAGGCCCTGCCCCATAACTTTGGGGACACAGTGTAAAATTGCGATCGAAACAGCTGCCTGCCCCCTCAGGACATTTCCAGGATCCATGAGAGTCAGTTTGTCATCATGTTGGCACCTTAAAACCAGCCTCAGCAGGGGCATTACACCACAGAGAGCGCCTTAGCATGCAAACCAAGCC